CTCCCCAAAACCCCAAAACCCCAAAACCCCAAAACCCCATCAGATATGGAGGAGATTAGATTAATTTTAAACTTAAATTTTAGAATAAATCAATTTATAATTATATAATATTAAGTCTCAAGTATGTATCCCAACATGCAAAGTAATTTCTAATATGTTCCCTACTAAGGTTACAACTATCAAAATGTTGATGAAGAGCAGCCAAAGACTCTCCTTAAGCAAGAATCCTAGGTTTAAGCAACTCAATAAGTAACTGATTCCAATGGTAAAATAGACAAGGAATTTGTAGAGAGCTTAGACAAGCCAATTAACAGTCTTCCCTTTTTGGAAAAGTATCACTAGTCTGCTAGAAATGTTGAAAGACTAGCCTAAACTGTTAAAAATGCAAGTTATGGTGTTGGAATGCTAGGAGGTGTCTGCTTCGTCCTTGCTGGATTCTGTCTTCTAGGAAACTCCGCTATTCATAACTCTTAAATGACTCAAAATAGCAGTGCAAATGCTGCTCATCCAAAGCTTCAATCAGGTATGCTAGATAGTGGGATTTAATCTGAAATTATCGATTCTGAAACTGGAGAATTTAATGTTAAGGCTTTATCTGGAACTTTTTCTATGATTATTTGGGGTATGATTATGGCTAAAGCAAAGTCTGGCTACACTGCAGCAATCTCTAAGGATCATACTTAAGTTCAATCTCAATACAAAAATGTCTTAACTTTGTTCGCTTTAATTGCAGTTGCAACTTTTGCCTAATGGAAGTTTGAAGGTCAAAGTCAAAAGAATATTTAATCAACACAACCTGCTACTCAATCAAAGGGTAGAAATTTAGAAGCTTCAAATCCTATAGTAGCTGTTACTGATGAAGTAGAAATCGTAGATTACAAAACTCTTTATGAAAATGCTTAATAACTATGGAGAAACTCAATCAGTAAAGATCAGAAAAAATCAAGCATAGTACTAGAAAGTTCAAATGTAGAAACAGCAACACAAGATCATAAAGTCAAATCCTAAATCATCATTCAAGGTGCCAAGGGTGCAGTTAAGTGGATTGGATCTATTATATTCTTTGCTATTTGCTTTGCTTATGGCATGATTCTTAGATAATATCACTTGGCAGTACAAAAGCATTAATAAATGACTGAGCTATTCTATAACCCTAACGTTAGAGTTGCCTCAGGAGAGAATGCCTCCAAAGTCCTTGATTCAATCAAGCCTAAAGTAGAAGAAGTTGAACAATTAATTCAAGCTCCAGCCTAACAACAATCTGTTCACCACTTAAACTAATTTGAAAATCTCCATCAAAAGATCTCAGAGATTCTTAAGAATGCCTAAAATATTTAAAAGCCTCATATGTAGGTTGCTGCCCCTACTCTTAAAAATCTTCCACCATCATTGAAAAGTGAAAATAACTTCAACTACTCCTTGTGTGAATCAATAGACTATTAATAGGAGTCCTTAGCGGCACCACTTCTTGATACAAGAAAAGAACAAAACAAAAGTCTTGCTATTGAAAGATTACAACAAATCCTTTCTCAAAAATAATCTTCTCAAAATTAGCAAGTACAATAGATTGTTCAAGAAAAGCCAAAACTCTAGCAAGCAGTCATTGAAAATCAAATTCAAGCTGCCCCTTAAGCTCAATAATAAGTTAAAGTTATTACAATGTCAAGAGAAGAATTTGAAAAGTAATACGGCCAAAAATTACCAGAAATTACTTAAAATTAAGCTTCTGCCATTATAATTCAAACTCATGCAAAGGACTTGGTTGAGGAAACTTCAATTAATATGACTATTACCAAGAATAATAGCATGGAATGAAACATAGATTCCTATCAGTCCACATTATGATTGATGAATTTAACTAACAATTCTTTAGTTTGACAAAATTTAAAACTTATATAATACTCACATTTTTTCCTCAATTTTAACCAATCATTGAGGGGTTTTGGGGTTTTGGGGAGATCGGAAGAGCGTCGTGTA